ATATTATACATTAGATCATATTATACACAAATAAATACGGTACAAATACTGTTACATTACTTACGTAGAAATTTGGTTATTTATATTTTAATGGAGTAATTATTTTTCAGCTGATTTTTACCTTTACTCTTTACATTATCACACAATTATCTGTACTTTCTACTTTGATTTCTGTTTTATTCCATTGTGTTGGATTGTGTGAATTTAATTGTGGTTGGATGGGATGTACAAATATAGGCCATTCCTGCACCCTAATGGTTTGTAGACAATCCATCGCACTGGCACATGACACAAATCAGATCAAACTCCAGCACGTAGCAGATTAATGTAGCCTAGTATTTTTAATTTGTGTATTTTTATTTTGTTTTCAGCTTATTATTAGTTTTATTGTATTGTGTCTGTGAAGCACTTTGGTCAACACTGTTGTTTTTGAATGTGCTATATAAATAAAGTGATGATGTGATGATGTAGTATGAAGATGGCCATGGCAGCGATAGGTTACTGAAACGTAGTCTAGTGCGTCCCAAATTTTTCATAATTAACATTTTAATGAAATGTACTTTATACAAGACTGCAATTATTTATATAAATAACAAATAGTTTATGATTTTTCATTGTGCTGTTTTCACTGTTGGTATAAGTTACAGATATTAAGCCTTTTGAGAAGCAAACATTATACGAATGTCACAATGAACAATTATAGTTGTAAGTGCTCAGCTACATATGAAAATGTAATATTGTGGCAGAATGAAACAACTGCACCAGATGATCTTGTCATCTGTTCCCCTCTGCAGGGCTCATCACAGTGAGCAAGCTCACATTTGGCAAATGGGATTTGCCTGGGTAAATAAAGGTTAATAATAATAAATTGTTTCATGTTGAATGCCCTTCCAGATAACCTGGGCACAAACCAGCAGCGTCAGGATTACAGGCTCTGGAGTTACCACAGCTCCCATATTCCAGAAGCAATAGTAACATTTTTTATTGTAACTTCACTTTATTAAATTAGATTTTTTTTAATCAGCTGTGTCTGAGTGGTCAGGGTAGTCGTCCACCTAATGCAAGAGTCTGCAGTTCAATTCCACGCTATTCCGACACATGTCAAAGTGTCCCTGGGCAAGACACTGAACCTCCACTGCCTCTGATGTGTCCCATCAGTGTGTGAGTGAGATTTAAAGCCCTGATCAGTCTCTATTGATTGATTTATCTGTATTAACTTTGTAGAATATTATCTAGTAGAGTGCTGTGTGTATATGTATAAATGGGTAAATAAGGACACAGATTGTGGTGTATACTCTTTGAGTATCCTGGTGGAATAGTAAGGCACTAAATAAGTACAGTCCGTTTGCCATTTGTTTTAATAATGATAAAGATTTATTATAATTCAAAAATCTAAAGATCATAATGTAACAATTTTAGGATTCTTGGTTTTTATGATTTAAATATTTATTGAATTTGATACATCCGACTGTTTTTTCCTCATCAATTAGTACCACGTCATGTTTTTGAAATTTTGTCTCAAACTGTTTTCTTTTCAGAACTATTGGTGTGGATTTTGTTACAGTTTTAAAAACGTTATGTAATCAGGAAGTCCATGGTCATCTCTGTGGTAGGCAGCTTTTGTTTCCTGATTAAACTGATGACATTTAGGCTCAGCCAATATTTTGTATTTCTTAAATATTATACTTGTTGAGCAATCATTTGAATCAGTTGAACTTTATTTACAAAGCACGTTATGGAGTGTAATACTAGGAAATTTACAGCAAATTTTAAATAACTTAAGCAAAAAAAAAGTCATGTTAAATACTTTGTAAAAAGCATTACTTTTACTGGCAGTGGTCTTGATACTCTTGCCAATAAAACAATACTCCTGTGCAGGCCTTATTCACCTTACAACAATTCAGATTAGAAATGACAGAGGCAATTGCATCTAAGATCTATCTTTTGCTGGCCCTCACTCAAGGTGTTTGCATACACTCAACTCACATTAGGAAGCATTTGTGCTGTCTAGGTTAGAAATTTATACTGCAGTTCACAACATTTGTTATTCACGGTGTGGCAAAACTGCACGGACAACTAGGTCTATGTAACAACTGTCATGAACTGATTTTTTAAAGGATGTGTTCATGTTTTGTTGTTGTTGTTTTTTTGGTTGATTTTTATTGTTGTTTTTATGGGGGAGGTTAGAGTTTTTGGTGTGTTCATCTGTGTGTGTTTTTTGTTTGTTTTGTTTTGTTATTTTGGGGAGGCAGGGTGGGGGTTTCATAGATTTTGGTGATTAACAGTGACACCAGACCCCTTTATTTCAAAAATATTGGTACATCTGAATCTAATGGTGTTCTCAGAAATTAGTTTTTAATGGTCGTAATGAAAAACAAACTTTAGTAGCATCCACATATGTGAGCATCAGGTTGCAACAGAGCAAATGTGACACTAACATAAGTTGTTACCTTTATTTGAAAATGTATGGAAGGCCAAATCTGACATAATTAGAAAAAACGCAGAGATATATAAATGGAACAATAAATAAATAAATACACTTAAAATACACCAATTACAAAAATGTAATACAAATACAAAAATTTTCATTTGAAATTTTACTGTTCTTCAAAACACATTTTTTGTTTTTCCTTCTACTTCTACAACGTGTCTCTTAAATGATTATATTTAATAATTTTTATAACTTTTCTCTCAAGTCTTTATTTTCATGTGTTGCTTTTTCATTTCTCTGTCTACTGTTTTTACATTTCCTTATGCATTTCTGCCTCATTATGTAAATAAGGTGGGTGGTCCTTCTTGGGTCAGCTTCTTCTTACACTAAGATTAGTCATGGAGTTCCTCAGGGTTCAGTGCTTGGACCAATCCTCTTTACTTTTGTAGGGGTATTAAATGCTAGAACTCTGAAATGGACAATTTGTGAATATGTATAAATATATTATATTTAAATATATTATTCCTCGAGGCACCACATTCTTAATTCGATCAGATATTGACCCAGGAAAGAAATGAAAAACTGTAACTTTATTGTAATCAGTCTCAGAATAAATTTACCCAAATTGATTCATGAGTTCTTGTCTTATCAGAACCAGAATATCTTCATCAAGACACAAAAATGAGATTAGCTTATGTTGGCACATTCCCCACGGGCCATTTATTTACAGATTAAATGTATTTACAACTATGGCATGTAATGAATGAATAATGACATGTTTGAACCAGGTAAAAAGCTGAGAGAATTTGTTATCACGAGTGAATGAACAAACAGACAGACGAAAACAAACAAACATGTAAACAAAAATAAACATTGAGAAGTGAGTTTGAGGCTCTGAGTGAGGTGAGGTAAGCTGTTTTAGCTGTGTTTTTTTTAACTAGGGGCTCCTAGTTAAATTAAGATCGAGAAAAACGTTTAGTTTACCAAATCTCCTACAAAGATAAAAATCACATTTACGTCTGAGCACCTTGTGTGTCACCAAGACAAGTGTTCTCCCTTACCCTGTTGTTCTGCTGATGGCGGTACCAGGAGGAGGCGTCGGCTGACCAAAGGGTCTCAGGTGATGTTTCCCAAAGAACTGCTTCAGTGTAGTGTCCGTTCAGACACTCGGGGTGTCTGTTCATCTGCTGGTCCTTCAGTCAGAAAGGGGTTTCTCTCTCTGGTGACTCAGTCTGGTCCTTCACAGGTGGCTGTAAGACTTTGATTTGATCTTCACTTTGTAGAGAAAAATGAACTAAAACGACGGTTGAATTACCATTAGCTTATTTAACTCCTATAAAATCAACACTCAGAGATTGAGTCGAAGTGTGACGAACGAGCTATTCGAACAATCAGCGGAGATGTTGAATGACACCACCCCCTCCCCATCCTGGTCAGCAAAGGGGAGGGTTGGCAGGGGGTCTGCTGAGATGTAGAAGCTGCTTCTGGCTTCAAAGGTAAACCGACTGACTTGAACTGCACTCAACAACAACTCTGTCCTTGTCTGCACTAACTTTTAAGACCTCTGTTATGGGCGGAGTCGAGGTTTTAGTTAGCCAATTGAAAAACTTTACCAAAGTTTTTAACAAATCAAATGTTTGGAGGGAGAAACTTTTGCTTCAATACAAAGGATGGGAGTGTTTTAGTCTAATTATCTTGCATCTAATTAAAGGGAGGAGACATCTGCTTTACCTCAGTAAAATAAGAATGTCCATTTAGTTAAATTCGAACCTAAAGTTTTCTAAGGTTTAAATCATGTAATAACACAGTTTAAAAGAAACATCTTTTTTTCAGGAAAATATTTCATAAAAAAAAAACACAGTTCGAACAATGTCCTTAGTGGGCAAACAGTTAAAAAAAAAACACAGTAGCTTATTTAATCAAGCATGTGGGTCCCTTTGTTCTCAGTCATGCTGAAGAGTCTGGCAAA